ATATATATATATATATATGTATATTATATATATCATTATACACACAAAACTTCTCTTTTCACAGATTTAATACTGAGCCGAGGCAAGACTGATTGAAGATAAAAAAAAACTCCACGGCTCAGAGAGAATGAGGACAGCAGGCTAGATTCCCGCCTGCTGTATTAAATTACAGAGTAAATTACGTGTGGACCTGATGGAGCTGAACACGAGAGCGGATATTCTCTTGGCGGCACAGCAGTCACATTTAACAGTAGGGAAGCGACTAATAATTGCCCCAAATGATAATTGCTTCAAAAATAAAAGTAATGTTTTTTGGGGGTTTTTTTGGTCACATTTGCAATTAACCACGGCTTCAGAAACTGTGGCGTTCGCACAATCCAACGTTGTAAAACACTACGGCCTGCAGCGCGGAAGCGCACAGCAGAGGAGGGAATGAACGGGAGCAACGATTATGCAGAAAGAAAATGAAATGCCTCAGACTTGTAGGGGAAACAGGGGGCTAAATCCAACACACCCACTTCAGTTTTCGGCTCCCTGCAGCAAACACCCCCCCCCCCTCCTCCTCCTCCTCCCCACTCAGAATGCATTAGCCTTCCATTGCTCGCTGCTAGCTGGTTGCAACGCGGCTCCTCTGCGATCAGCTCCGATAGCGAGGAGAGGGAAAGCTGGAGTCGATGCCTTTGTCCTCTGCCCCGCTACTCAAATCCGCTCTATTTAAAAGCCCTTTGTCTACACAAAGCAGTCCAAGGGAATGAAACGGACCATTAACAAGATTATCTCACTCATTCCGCCGCCGAATAAAGGCTCTCCCGTGGGCTGCTGATCATTAGGCTGCCGGCGGGAACAATGCTGATCTATAATCTTAGGCCTTGCTTTGACATAATGGGAGCCCTTCTTTTTTTTTTTTTCCACAGGGGAACGGCAATAAAAAAAAAAAAAGGTAGAGAGAGGAAGGGGAAGAAGAGAAAGTGAGAAAAGAAGGAGTTGAACCTTCCAGTTAGCAGTGAAACGGGGTCTTGAGGTGGAGGCCTCTCTTCAGGCGGCCCTTCCATTAGCAGGCGGGAAGCTACACATGTGATTACCAAGCTGAGTTTAACCAGCGTGCCTGGTTGTAAAAACTCAGTGAAACGTCCCTTGTTTACATCTGATGGAGCACGCATGTCTGTCCCCCTTTTCAGGTACAATAAAAATGAAGGTAGGTGAAGTCATCGGGGTCAAAACAAACAAAGAGCTTTTTCTTTCTAAATCTATTCAAGTGTGGCGGCTGAAATAAGACATGTGTTTTCTTAATATCAGGAAAGACGCAACTGGGCGCCCCTCCCCCAACCTTTCATCCCGGCCGGTACGGAGTCATCGCTCACAGCGGACACACTTTTCCGCCCTGTTCACATTGGCGGGGGGGTGGGGGAGAGGTTACGGAGCCGGGCTCGCACTCGCACTAATTCCCTCATTCCTGTGAGGGCGGCGGTGATGTATGAGGGGAATGAGACGGGGGGCTCAGGTCGGTTGGCCAACACTGTCGCCGTCGCACGGTAATGAGATCTCGGAGGGCGGGGGGGTTAGAGGCAGATTCCTCCAATTCACGGCTCACATAATACTAATTGGCCAGAATGAGATCGGTAGGAGGTAGGATTGTTTATTGGCATTATTAAAAAGTACACAATTTCCTCACCTGCCCCTGATGATCAGCGAGTTTGTTGTGTACTGGCTGTAGATTGTAAATATGGGGAGATGCTTACCAACTAGGTAGCTGTATTTTTGTCTTGGGCTGACTCCCGTGGTTTAGGCTATACTCCTTTTGCACTCAATTTTACAGTAAACCGCCGTAATTTATCCCCAAAAAGTGTAGCATATGAATCCAGGATAAATATACAGCCATACACAAAATAGGCTCTGCAAAAATAACCCTTTCCTTATTGTGGTGCAGAATAACTTCCAACAGTCCAATTGCAAAATGTCGAGGAGGTTTCTTGAGGAGAGGCTGGATTGGCAGCAGATCGATGTCCACGACTCTGGCACGACATCACATATGGGCGTAGTGTTCAGGCGCCCACACACTTCCACAGTGCATTTCATATTCTTTCATGGACATAAATGGAGTCTTTTCACCACATTCCCACATATTTACAGTTATGTGAAATAATGAGACATCTGCCTCTCACTTCTATGATTTGCATATTGACTGTGATTTGAAAAATGTGGAGGTAGTGCTACCTATGTTGTCTGCAATTGTGTGTGTGTGTGTGTAGCTTAACCCAATCGTAGAAATTGTGTGCAAGGCACTTTGCAAATTGCATTGATCTCTCTTTAGACCTGCCTCCCACCTGCCTGTGTTGCAGAGGCGTAGAGGGGAAGGGGGGGGTAAGGGGGGGAGTTCAACAGCTTTATTTTTTCTGATGCTGTCGTTTTGTGCATCTGTACTCTATCGGCATTTACCATCTGTTTCACATTCGTTCTCATACTTTGCTTTTTTTTTTTTTTATCTCCCTCCCTCTCCATTTATCACTTTCTATGTTACACACACACACACGCACACACACACGCACACCCAGCGTTCCTTCGCTCATCATCGGTGTGACTGACATGCTTCCCCCTGCTCTCTCCTTTTAATCACAAGATTATCAGTCGCCACGGTGATGAGCGTCGGTGTGGCTTGAGAACAGGACTTAATGAGTGAGAAACCACCGTGGAACATGGCGGGGTCAAGAGTAACCGTGTTTTCATTTGTGCCCGTGTTTAACAACCTGCGAGATGATAAAAAGTATAATGATAATAATAATAATAATAATAATAATGAGTTTGAAGCAGCTGTGAAGGCTGCAGCTTCGTGAGCGGCCTCATCCGGTAGGCTGGCTCCTCCTCAGCAACTGATCTTCCACAAGTCAACAATATTGTTTATACATCCATGTTTGGAATATTAAAGCTAAGCTAACTTAAGCTAGCTTAATGTTATCCGCCATCAGCGACCAAGCATGAGCACGCAGTCATGGAAACGACACGAAAGGGCTCTTTGCGAGCTCGTGGGATCGCTTTAATTATGAATCAAGCAGTAGAGCTGCAAATCAAACCGTACAGACTGAATTGTGCCATTGACTCTTTGGGAAAATGCATAGTGTTGTTAAATACTTATTCAGGTGCATTCAAATAAATTGTGTACATTGTGCACAGGAGCAGTTTGGCTCATAGTGAGTGCACGGAGCAATGAGGGTTATTTGATCCAAGAAAAACGTCTTGAATCTTGCATTTAGAAACTATGGAAAAAAAACTAGCAAGCCTGAGGCTTCTTGCATGTCTTTAATATTCATATCTGTTGCTGAGGAGTTTGAGTCGTATCAAATATCAATCTAGCATCAAATTCACTGATCAAATATTCATCTTTTCAGATATTTAGCTTCGATCAAAATTCAAATGTGCAACTGGATCCGAGATGTAACCAACCATCAGAACACAAACGAAATCCCCCCTTAATCTTATTGTGCCTTTTTTTTTTTTTTTTTTTACTTTCTAAGAAGGAGCAGCAGTAAACACACTGTGCGTCTTCCCTCCCTTCACCCCTCTGGCTCCCCAGTAAACACGGTGGTTAACACCCGGGTGGCCCGGGGCCCCCGAGATGTTCCTCCAGCTGTGATGGTGGACCCCAGGGAGCTGCAGCTGTGACGCTCCTTCGGGCTTGTAGAAGCTGGCGACGCTCTAACGAGTCTCCTCGGAGCCCGAAGGGGCCCCCACATGGACTCCTATTGACTGCCCTGCTTCATCTTCCCCCGGACCTGCAGAGACTGTCCCACCGCGGCAGCCTTCAGTGCAAATACCCGGCTAAACGTGGCGCCGAGTGGACCACGGGGTCTAAAACGGGAGCCACGGAACCCTCGGCAGATTCACGGCTAACACAAGGTCACACAAACACAATACAGGAACACACCACAAAGCAAACTCCTTCTGCTTCTTTTGTGCGTTTTGTGTTACTGATAACCAAACATCATTTTAATTCAGTGTTCCTTTTACTTTCCAATCGCATTGTATTGTTCGGTTTGATAAAGGAGTTGGTAAACACAGCGCCGCTTTCCCTGAATGTGAAGTCATTCAAAAGACAACAAGTCACTCCTTTCAGAATCGGTCTACAGATAACAAGAGAAACGAGAAAAGGCTGTTTTCAAACGCACTTTAGTCCAGGAGGATGCTGCTTGTGTTGCCTGAACTCCCTCGTCTCTCTATATATATGATATATATATATATATATATATATATATAATGTTATTTATGTATTGACGTCCTCCACGCCTCTGGAGGTGGAGCTCCTTCTCTTAAGCTTACGAGCCCTGACCAGTTTTGATGATTGTGCAATAAAGTTGTGAGACGCTCCTTGTGTCGCCTCGTACTACACTGAAAACCAATGTGAAAAATAAAAGTAATTGGGTCGTTAAAATGAGCCTCAGACGAAAGGCTGCTTGTTAGCGGTTAGAGGATATCTGTCATAGATGTCTAAATGAATCTTGGCAAATTAATTCCTACTGCGCCGCGTTGAGATAAGTCTCCATGTCACAATGTATTCATTTTTCTCAGTTATTGAGGCACTTTTCCACTTACATGTAATCACTGGCTGCCTGTTTTCATTTTCTGAAGCTGACAACAAGTGCTTTTCCATATCAGGCCCGAGTGCTCTGAGGTCCACGCAGCGGGCCGAATGCCTAATGGACGCTTTGATGAAGACGAGGCTTCCTTTTTGAAATGTGCGCGGGTTTGTTGTCGAACTGAGCGCGCTGTATACGCGTCGTATGAGGGAAAGACTGCTCCAGGATCTGTTCCCATCATCTCTGTGGCAGCTGCCGCCCGGTTAGGTCATGGGGGAGGAGGCGTAAACCAGGCCGACCCGCATGTTACCGAGAGCCGGGGGTGGTGGGGTGGGGGGGTCAGCCACCATCAAAGGGTGTGTGTGTGTGTGTGTGTGTGTGTGTGTGTGAGAGTCTGTATCAGCGGGTTCTGTTCCAGGGCCAAGAACTTACCCCTGCAGATGGTGCCGTTGCCCACGTAGCCCGGCTTGCAGGTGCACAGGTGTCCTCGGATGGTGTTGGTGCAGATGGCGTTGTCATCACACAAATTTTGCCCGCTGGCGCACTCGTCATGCTCTGTGGGGGGGGGGGGGAGAAATGGGGGGGAAAAGGGACTCAGCAGTTGGAATAGACGATAGACGGGTGTGCATGCGAGTTGAAGATGGAGAGGTGATTTCTGGTGGGGGGAACAAGCTAGTTGGCTGAGACACAGCTGAGCTTGACGAGGGCGGCTTGTCGCCGCTCACAGTGGGCTGGAAAACAATTGGGTCCCATTGGGTTCAAACCAACGCCACAGCTGCTTTTTTTCTAGCTTGGCTTTACTTTAAAACCACCGGGGGGGGGGGGGTGAAGGTGTTAGCAGCTGCGTTAGATACCGGCCAGGCGTGGTGGACTGATTGTTTAGCATCAGCAGCAATTAGCTTAATGATGTTGGCTGAGAACGCGTGTGACGAGTCAGACAGGAACGGCATCAAGAAATCAACGCCTGGCGTTCATCTCACCTGATGGAGGGACATTTAAAACGGTCCCGTGAAATACGCAAGCAGCAGAGAGAGGACAACACATCGAACCCGCAGTTCTTCACACGGAGATCCTGTTTCGTAAATACGCGTCACGTATGTAGAAACAGTGACACGCGTCTGTGGGAGGAGTCAACTAAACTACTCATCTTAGGTTAGAAAAAGCGTCCTGGTCACCACAGTTAACTTTAAATACACAACACCGATAACTGAACAAAAATGTGAACTGAACAAGTGTCTGTCTAACATGTTGGAGGAATTGTGGGGCAGTAAATGTAAACCACTCCCATTCACACCACCATTGTCAGAATCCGGGGCTATGACGTACCAAAGTCACGCGTGTTTCTTTACCTTGGTAATATTACAGGAGATGATGAGCTAAGAGTATCTCCTGAAAATCCTGCTAACAGCTAGCAAAAAAGGTCATTACAAAGAGATGGGAAAGGACGAAGCCACCAACAACAGTGGCATGGATGAAGAACGTGACTGAACTATACGATATGGGACTGTTAACCCACAAAAAACCAAAGAGGAACAATGTCGAGACAAATGGGAGAAATGGAACAAGTTCAACACATCAACGACAGTATCGGAGAAGAGCACATGAATGTTGCCTTAGGATTAACTTCGTTATAAAAAGTACAGAACCATCCTGACCCCTTTTTCAACCCCCCTTTATTTATTATTATTATTTTTATTATTTATATATATATATATATATATATATATATATATATATATATATATATATATGTCTGCGTTGAAAATGCAAAAATAAAGTGAGAACAAAAAATAAAAATGGAGAGATCCAACGTATTTGACCAAACGTCAGGATAAATCCATTTATTCCTCAAAAAGGTAAAAGGCACACAGCAAGATTTATGTTGGCGACGCTTAAATGAACAGATTCTATGTTTTTTTTTTGCTCATTACAGCGGATTAATGTTTCATTCCAGTTAATCCAACTCATTACCATAAAGTAACATTACAAATGTCAAAGCAGTCGGCAATGCACAATAAGCCTGCGTGAAATGACACGTGTAGCTGCAGTGATGCAAGCGGAACCGATCGCTCTGCAGATAAGAGCATCAAATGAGCCGATCTACAGCCGATGACAGAGTGCTGCAATTCCAGCATTTCCCACTTCACCCCGAATAGCTGGATAGATTCTAGGATCATATAAATGAGACTGCTGCTTTATAGCAAACAGTGCAGCATGAACATCTACGGCGTAAATTTGTTTCATTCCTGAACCGCTGACTCACTAATAACTGGCTGGTTCATTACTCAGTGCCGCGCGGACTGTGGCTCATTGTTTAATATTCAAGACTTTTCTCCATGTTGTTGCTGTTGGCTCGAGGCAGCAGGGAGTGAGAGGTGAGTTTAAAGCCGTTGGCTGAACAGCCTTAAAGTGACCCAAGTTGTTTAATTTGAAAGCTTTCGTTGAGAGTCAAACAGCTTCAGTTTCAGAAACATTTGCGTCCTGGACTGACGGTGAACCAAAGCACAGAATAACGTGTCAGGGTGAGATTGTCGGTCGTCGGCTTGACTGGACTTTGCAGCAGACTGAATGGCAACTTTCAGATATATATTGGATTTATAGTTGCCTCACAACATAAATGGCTTATGCAGCGAGAGCAGTGTGACTGGAATATGTGGACGTTTTATTCGCGGGTAAAATCAACATGTCACACCGGCCCGTCGACCACATGTTCCACTAACGAGCGCCGCACCGCGAGATGCTAACGCGGCTGCTCCGAATGTCACCCGAGGCCGAGACGACCCTGCAAACGTGGCATCGCGCAACTAAAGAAGAAAAATGGAACCGGATGAAAGGGAACATAATTATAACAACATCAAATAATAATTACGGATCTCGCAGTTGCTTAGAAATATGAGATTAACATATTTTTTGGCATCGTGTTCATTGATTCAACGCTTACCGCCGGGCTTATCAAGCTGATTGAGCTGCAGTTGACGCATCTTCAATTAAAATCTAACATGATTTTGGATGATTACGAACAACATATTAAGAAGCAAAACCTTCGGCGAGGGGTTTTACAACAGCGCTGCACTGCAGCAGCGTCGTTTCATCAAACCCCGACCTGCGTCTTTAAGCGGCAGTCAGCAGCCGCCCCGAGGCTCCCGAGGTACACGCTCACTCAAACACACACACTCACACACAGACACACACACACACGCGCTCCTCATTTATATGCAAACGCTTTGGTGGGAGTCATGACTAATACATTCCCCGTAATTAATGAGCGGTGCTCATGAAGCCCCGCAGCCCCGAGCAGAAGTGATTTGGCTTCTTCTCTTCCCAAGGATTTCCTCCCCACGCCGATTTATAAAGTGGAGGTGAATGTCAACCGCGCTGGTGGGACGCGGGAGTGTGAGATGTGGGCAGAATGGACGGCAGAGCGACGGAGGAGGAGGAGTTACACCATCAGATGTTCACTGCGTTAATGTGCTGTGAGAGCGCCACAGTCAAAACATTGACGGACGCGGCTGCTTGTTAATGCCGTTTAATGTCCGCTGGCAAATTGGGAAATTATACAGGTGGAAACGGACGGATGCAGCGGATGAATTGATGGAAAAATTGTGAAGGTGAAAAAGTGCCAACTTGAACAGGCGATAAATCCCTCAGACAGGAACGTCAGTTCTGATTCAATCCATTATTTATTGAGTTGTGATGTATTGATTTCATGAGAATTCTTCCGTTAAGTTAGTAGTGCTTCATATATCCATAGTTCCTTTTCGTCCTTCTTCTGAGCAACAGTCACCGGCCATTAGACAATCTGCATTTCATTGCTCTCCTCTAAGGCTTAAAAAAAAAACTGGGTTGAAAAACGAATTACAGCTCTTAATAAATGAAATATATAAACCATCACAAATTGATCAAATCAACCGGTTAGAGAATATTGACTAATCATGGGGACCACGTACGGCGGCCGTCGCACCCAGAGTGGCCTCGGGGGGGATCAGAGGGGGGGACTGGGGTTGTTTCTCTTTTAATGGAATTAAAAGGCCAAAAGCAAACGGTCCGGACCAACGAGGAGAGCCAGCAGATCCCCAGTTCCCTGCAGGGACGATAACTGAGGGAAGTGATTCCACTTTAGTGCAGAATTGTATACTTAGGATACACAAAGGGCTTCGGATTGAACCCAAAATGCCCAAAATTTTTTTTTACAGACAGTCCCAAATAACTAATTCTACATCTTTGAATTCTGGGGTTATTTTTTCCCTGCAGTGGATCTTCTTTGCATTTTGTTTCTGTGTGTGTGTGTCACAAAGCCTCGGGCTGAATGCTAATTATTCGCTCAAGCTGAAACATTCCCGACGTCGGCAGCGTGTGGCGGTACAGTAATGCACGGCGTCCACTTGTCTCTGCGCGTCGTCTTTGCATGAATTATGTGCGGCTGTAAAACGCACTTCCTGCTCGGTAAGTACGGTACTCAACTGCAGCTTGAAGGCTGGTGCTTAGAATTATAGGTGCTAATAAGGGCTACATGTGCTCCCGATTGGAGAACCTGTTATCTTTTAAAGGGCGTTAATAAGAACCCACCCGTAGAACCCTGTTCTGGTGCTCCAAGGATTTCCTCTGTAACCTCCCCAGGTTCCTCATGAAGCGGTCTCTCCACACCAACCGATAAACAGAACACACCGGGCTTTTATACCCCTTTTGTTTGATTCCTATTTATTCTTTCTCCCATTACACAAATTCCTCTCAAACTTAAGCAGTAGGTGTTCTGTTCTTCTTTTTTTTTTTTCAGCACTCGCAACTGTTAAGAATCAGAATCGTCTCGAAAAACTGAATAAACGAGACAAAGCCTGTGTATTACGGGGCTGTGAGCTAAACCAACACCTCGAGATCCCCGTTTCACTTTGCATAATAGATTTGTAAAACACGTCCTCGTCTCTTTAGCTTTCAAGCCGTCTCATTCGATAATGTCAAACGGAACACTTCAGTAATGTGAAGTTTAATGAGCGGTGACGAGCCCATAAAAAAAAAAAAAAATGAACAGAGCACGGCAGGATTCCTTCTTCTTCTTTTTTTTTTTTGTCCCGATGCAAAGCTGTCGTATTCCCTTTCAGCCCGAGCCTTGCCGTTCACCTTGACTCATCTGTCCCGTGTCACGCGGGGGACACGCGCCGATGGGCCGTCGTAGCGTTTAGCCTGCAGGATATTCATTCCCATGAAATGACTTTCTGAATTTCCTCCAGCAATTCAACCCTACCATGGAGATCTGACTGGGACAAAGAGGGCTCAAAGGGCTCCTCGCGCGGGGCAGCGGACTTCGTGTAGTCTGGTGACTTTTTTTCCCTCTGCTGGGATGCAGATGAGTTGAATTCCCTTCGCCTCCCCATCTTTGCTCCCCAGGAGATTACAGTCACACCGCGTGTTGTACGGTCGGCGGCTGAGCTCTCGTACCACCAGGCTAATACCGTTTTCTACTCATTTATTACTGTACGGCTGGACATACTTTTCATGAATATTTCCCCTCGAGGCCGCGAGTTTTCAACAACTGCTTCTCTTTGCACTCTTTCCTGCGACGGAGTGGAAATGTTTCATTTCGAATTTTTTCAAAAGGCAACGTTTACGTCACACTTTTAAACCAACGCACCTGCAGATCAAAGCGGACACACATTTACAGGTAATACAACATCATTCCCGAGGATTAGCGGGATAAATAAGCACATCTCGCCATAAAAATGGGAGAGGTGCCTCCAGAAGAGAATTAAGCCGAGCTTCCGGGGTGCTTCCGATACATTACACACAAGTATTAAACGCTAAAGACATGGCAATTTGACGTTGCGAATGTTCCCATTTACATCACGAATAACTGGCACACATTTAGTGGCGTCAGCTCGGTGTGCTCTAAAGCACCCGGACCACGCAGCTTGTATCGTGCAGCAGCGGAATGCGATTTATCCAACACCCAAATGAAATATACAACTCAACGGCAATAACGATGCTTAGGCTGCATTTCCCATTAATGAAAGCATGTTTCATTAATGTGTCCTGTCAGGGAACATCCATCCCACAGACGTAGTGCGTTACAATTCCACGCGTCGCCGTGTGTCTTCAACCAGGAGAAACAGGAGGCAAGAGGAGGCAGCGCAGGAGAAGACGAGGCTTACGGAGGAGAGGTTGCACAGTCCGCCGCGGAGCGGGATAAAACACTCCTTACACCCATCCCTGTGCGGGGGAGCTAAATATAAACACCAGCTTCTAGGGGCCCATTACGAATGGATGAAGGTGAGGACTGAGGAAAACTTCTCTCCCTCCTTCCCAAAACCGCGTGTGGTGGACTCGTTGAGCCGCCTGACCTCCATTTTTAAGGAGTTAATGTAAACAGGGAGGCGCGCCAAGGTTTCCAGGCTCGTCACACCTGAGCACCACACTCATTACGTGTATAATTGGATTTGATTAAAGTTTCATTTAACATAGAATGCGTCTTCAGGGGGACGCGGCGCGTGCCGATGCTTAACTTTTGAAGAAGATACGTAGTAACCGACGCGTGAAATCAAGGGCGCCCTCTTCTTGGTCAGCGGCAGAGCAGCCAACCGTCTACCAACAGCAGCTGGACATCAAAAGTAAGTCAACGTATTGATCAGCAGGGTGCAGATGTGCATAAAACCAGCTGCGCTCGACTGTTTTTATTACATATAAACCGCTTGTTAAAACTTGCTATGAAACCCGTGTCTTATTATGCATCATAAGCCGCTTATAACACTGTATAATTATAGTCACCAATATACAAAACCTTTAGACAGCATTCATTAAGCATTATCTTCTTTGGTAGTAATGGGCAAGTGTCACAACCCTTAAAATCTTTTTTTAACTGGAAGGATCCAAGTTGTAAATTCCTATAATTGTCAAACGTTATAAGCTTCTTTTATAATCTGAACGAATAAATAAATCTAAGTGGTCATTGTGGCTTTAAGTCAAGTGAAAACATTAAATCCATGCAAAAAAGTCACATAATGCATCGTAAGGATGTTTATAATGTAATACAGACACAAAGTATTAATGTAATCTACTTAAACTTCTGTTTGAATGTCGGCCAACTAACAGGGAATAGCAATATTTCTGACTATTATCAGCCAGCAATACTGGCTTGAACATCTACTGTTGAACCTGTTCTCCAGCTGCTCATAACAGCTGTAACGCTGAGCTCTTCGCTCGATTAGAGTTCCGATGTCTTGGTCCGGCCTGCAGAGCTGCACCTTCGACGGGGAGAAGAATTCATTTGCAGAACGCTCGCGGTGCTCTTTATCTGCCGGCCTGAGCTGGACCTGCTCTGGGAGTTTTATATATGCGGGGACGGAGGCGAGCGCTCGCCTCTCCTTCCAGCCGGTCTAATCTCCGAAAAGCCAACGTTATCGGCGCCTGCTTAATGCAGTAAACAGCTCCTTCAAAACCCCCAGAGATCATACGATAAGCGGGAATAGGTTGGGGTCGGACAGCCGCTCCCACAATTACCTACGGCAGACAACTATTATCCGCCAGAGAGTTGGAGATCATTGTGACCTTTTATGGGGGGAAATCACTGGATTCTGCTCACACTGCAACTGTAGAGACTGAGGGCAAGCACGGGTCCAAGCACCGGGTCCAAGCACCCGGGTCCAAGCTCAGCGCGGAAAAAAACCCTGACAGGCGTTATATTGTCAAATATGAATATCGAATACCTTGAAATACATAGGAAAATACTTTTCTGTGAGCATGCAACTAAACAGCCAGTCTCCCTGTGCGGGCGCCGGGCTGTTGGGAGACTGAGGCTCCTCCCACTTTCTGCCACGCCTCTTCTTCCCGCCGTCAATCCACCATCTCACCAGAGGCGCTCGGCTGCCTCCATCGACGAGAGGCTCAATAACCGCGCAGCATCCCACCTGGTTCACAGGCAGCGATTGAGGCTCCCCGGCCCGGCAGCGGAGACAGAGGCCCGATGCAAAACCCGATACACAATTGTGTCGCGTGAGAACCGCAATAGATGACATTTTACTCCTGTGAGGAAGGAGCCGCGCCGGTTGTAACATCGACGGCGAATCCGCGTGGCGCCCACAGCGAAAGCAGAGAGCTGTGAGATGTCCAGAGACAATTTAGCCACACACACACACACACACACACACTGGCCTGAAGCTAAAAGGCAGGAACAGACACGACGCACAAACACTGCAGTCAGTGATCCTCATCAAACACACGTCATTGACCTGGCGACTCACACGGCGACTTCTTCCTTTGTGTCCGTCAGAGCACAAGATGTAAATAAGTACGTTCTCTCCCTGCAGAGTGGAAAACAGGCGTTGTGTAATCACATTGGCCATCTTTAAATGTGACTATAATCCTTGGTTATTGATTTTTTTTCTCCCTGGTACACACATATATATATATATATATATATATATATATATATATATATATATATACACACACACACCGAGCTACGACCTGGTTATTACTTTGTAATTCTAAAGCTACTGAAATGTTTAATATAACCTGAATATCCTCCGAAGGCCTTTTGTGTTGCAAAACCTCTTAAACTTGCTGTGCCTGCACGAAGCCACCAGCACGCATTTAGAACAAACTTCCTCAGAGACCGATCGTACGGTGGAATGCTAAAAATGAATGTGCATTTATACTACGATGCAAAGAAGACCTGCTATGTCCGAATCTGTTGCACGTGTGGAACAACGGCCCACTGTTTTTCTTACAATGCAGAAGTGGGTGGGCGTTAAAGGGCTCTAATAGCATCAGGCCACTGCAGTATTTGCCTGAAACGTATGGTGCTGCCTATGGATCACCGAGGATTAGCGTGTCTTTCATTCTCGATGGGATTATTAATGATAAAGGCTCAGCAGCTGCTGCTGCTGCTCTTACTGATTTAACTCTCTCCTCCCCGCTAACGGCTTCATGGATCAAGAAAACGGAGAGAGATCAGAAACGGATTCCCGCCACGTCTCTGTGTGTTTGTGTGTGTGTCTCTCGCTTAATGCGGGGAAAACAATATCATCACCAGAAACCTCGCCGGATCCCGACACAATGGAGAACAACAAAGCGGATTCCAGCAGAGCGCACCAATTACGGAACGCGCAATCGTGTTAGCGATGGGGTAAAAAAAAGAAGAAAAAAAAGAGCGGGCTCCGCCCCCCCTGTGTTACATGCGTGTGCAAAATATGAAACCCCCTTAAGAAGAAGCTGAAGGACAAGGAGGAGACGGAGAGAGAGAGAGGATTTATCTCCCCCAGCAGATGTGGAGCAGCCTCCCGGTCAGCAGCCGGGACAGTTTACAAGCCGCAAAATAGATTGATTGTCTGCGGATCCCTGCCCCCCCCCCGTGTGAGCTAATTAAAGAACACTCCTGTGGCCGAGCACTGAGCAGCAGAACGGGTGTCTGGAGCCGCGCGGCTACACTTCCACGCGGCAGTTGCATTGCGCTGTGTGAAGTAGGTGAACATGTTGGTGAATTTGTTTCCACGCTTTGCCCTGACATTCAGCCTGGAGAGGGTCATGTGGCTAAAGCGGCGTTAGCATCAGCGCTATTCACTGCCGGCAAGGAAATACACGACGGAATGGCTGCAATCTCCAGCGCCGATTCTCATAACCTTTAAAAAAAGGGGCAGTCATCGAGGTATTAAGCATTCATTTTATCTGGAGGACTGGAACGAGTCAGTTCCGCAGAAACGATTGTAGGGATGAGAGTACATGATACAATAAGTTAACATCAAAAGGATTATGGCCATGTTTATATTTAATACAGTAATATTAAATGTGTCGACGGCGTAACTATGGTAACAGGCCGTCGTGTGAGGAGGGCTGATGAGGCAGCGATGACGTACCGGTGCAGGAGTACTCGTCCACTCTGACGAAGCCGGGCGGACAGTCGCAGCGATGGCCGCCGGGCAGGTTGACGCACACCGTGTTGGACTGGCAGTAATGCATCTCGTCGCACACTCATCAATATCTGGGGACAAACGGAGCAAAGGGTGGATTAATAACTCCCTCTCAGCTGTGCAAAGACACCGTCGGGACACACGCGGGTGGGGGGGGGGGGGTGATTCCTCAAGCGAGTAATGAAGCGAGATGAGGCTCGGTGAACTGCCGGGTGTCACCTGGGGTTGCTTAGTTACTCTTTCGAGGCGTCTCCATCTATAAACCGCACTGAATCATCAATCAGAGGGTAAACAAGACTACTTTTTCATAGAATGTCTTTGTCCCCCCCCTCCCCCCCGCGTGTAAATGTATGAGGTTACGATGCATCACACAGAACCGTTCCAGCCGAGGATCTTTGAGGCATGTCTTTACTTACTTACTGAGTATCAACAAATCCAATAAAATACCCAAATCCCCCCGTAAAAAATGACACGAAGCAAGCAGGAGAGAAAAGGAAAAAAAGTGTGATATCACCAAGAAATCGGAGCAGCGGAGAGCAGGAACCCGAAGAAAATAGTTTTGTGAGGTCAGTGACCTTCGGCCTGCGTTCTTCCTTGAGTGGAGGTGGACGTTTGTGACACATTCTAAGAAGGTAACTGCAGGTGTTACAAGATGTAAAGACGACGGGGGCGGACGTGCGCTCACGCTTTGCGTTCCCGACGTGCGGAACGTCCGGCTGACACGATTCATTACCGCCCGGCTCTTCGTACGCCGCCTCGCGCTCTCTTCCTAATGTAGCTTGAAAGGCATTGTGTGAGCATCGAAACGCGCCGCTCATGGGGGCATTAACCGAGCTGGATGACTGCTGATGAAAAGGGATCGGAAACACACAAGGGAGGTGTTATGCAGAGGAGGCTAAATGTGTGTGTGTGTGTGTGTGTGTGTGTGTACAGTATTTATGTGGATGTGAGCGGCACAGAACCCGTTTCCCGAGGCTAACGGGCCTTTCCACCACTTAAGGGACTTTGTATGCTACACTTAAGGGGAGGAGAGAGTGAGGAGAGTATTTCCATATCCTCTCCTTGGATAAATACATTCCGGCTTTGAGGTTTTCTGCTCACACTTCTCCCTTACAACAGAATAAATTTGTATGAAGTATGTAATTGACTTACATGCAACACCCAGCATTTCTTCTTCCAGCCCTGGAGAGCGGACAGTGGGAGTGTTGAATTGCACAAATCAAAAGAGGGACGCATCGAGCGTTCGGGCGAACAAAGCCTCGCTGGCCTTCAGCGGGGGGGGGAAACCATTGATCTGCCACATCAAAAATACGAAACTGATTCGAGGGCTCCAAGGCTGCAAAAGCACCACCCGAATCAAAGCTCCCGGCGCGTTCTGAGGTGCTCGTTTGAACGGCCTCCGCTGGGCGGGAGGCCAACGTGTGGTGGTGGACGCCTGATGACGTGACGACACGCCGGTAATTCAAGAGTGGACAGTTCTCGTTGCAGGCGGGAAGGACGTCCGGAAGCCCGACGGGGTCCTGCGACACGTGTTTGTGTGTCTGAACGTGTGCGTTCGCGCCCTCCGCGGCCTCCGCTCGGAGGGCCGCACCAGGTGACGTCTGCCGACAGAACTGGATCATTTTAGACACGGGAAGAATTGTTTTTCCTGCATTTGGGTGGGTGTCTCTCTCTCTCTCTTTTTCTCTCCCCCACAGCCCATCCTCCTCCTTACCTCCCCCTGCCTCCCACCTCCTCCCTCTGAGCTCAGTTTCTTCATCACTGTTGCTTTATTCATGCTGTGATGTAGGTCAGGGATGCAGAGAGGGAATAAGGCAGGTTAGGACTGTGTGCATGCATGTGGCATGACTGTGTGTGTGTGCGCATGCATGTGGCATGACTGTGTGTGTGTGTGTGTGTGTGTGTGTGTGTGTGTGTTAGTGGATGTTCGCCCCAGCTCATCCCCTTGTGCGTATTTCAGTGTTTTGGAGACACAGACTGTGTCTGGATGTTTGGATGCTTTGAGGTGGAAAGAGAGAAGACTCTTCATATTACTTTGTGTTTGTGTGTGTGTGTGTGTGTGTGTGTGTGTGTGTGCACAGTGTAATGTAGTGCATGTGCAAACTAGGGTCTGCATCCTGCCGTACTTTGCAGAGGTTAATGGAAACAGCTAATATCTAACCGCAATATTGTGCCAGTCTGAAAGAAACTCCTTAGTTTACTTTACTCTAATCAACACAGATGGTGTGTGTGTGTGCCTGTGTGTGTGTGCGCGTGTGCCTGCGTGTGTCTATCCACAAAACCTCAGTCATTGCAATTGATCAGGCTCTTTGCGCAACTCATTTGTTGGTCTGTTTGAAGCCAAATGCAAAAGGGGGCTGCTTCAGAATGAGGGAGAGACGGAAACTAAATTAGCAGAAAAATATCTCTGCTGGCTTTAAAAGTACTGAAATGATTCTCTCCTTCCAGAAGTGTGGAACTGTGGCAACACGACTTTTGCATTTGAGTCTGTGCATTCGTGCAGCTCTCCGGACAGCGTTAATTATGGAGAACTGCGTCCTCATGAAAAGCATCTGCATCCCGGTTTAAATGATTAACCGTCACAACCTTCTACTGCGTTTGTTCAAATAAATGGAACAAGTTGTGCAAAGTACTCCGATCGGACTTTAAGGTACGTGCTATAAACGAGGTTATTCGGCATGCAAATGAGTTTTCCCCCAAAATTCACACTGCCCTGAGGAACTTATCGGGAAGCTCAAGTTATGCACAACTTCCTATTAAGCCAAAACACAAGGAAGCTGTTTGATTGGCTAAATCCGCCGCTTTCAATCATCCACTATCTGTAGACGCCTGTGTGTTAAAACTCACAGTGCTGCTCGCTAACAGAGAGGGGAAACTACGAGAGGGTTTCTCTTCTTAAAAGGCTCGAGTCTCGAAAGTCATCAACCCCCCCATGTCTCATCCCTCTTAGCAGATACGAACAGAGCAATTTCAATTTGATTTGCACTCTCACTTCTTCTTCGACCTCTCGTCGTCTCTCTGTCCGTCCCTTCGTGCACACACAAGTTGGTTTTACTCAGCAACTGCACACAATGATAATTGGGGCGAGCACAGAAAGTTGCCTTCAGCGTACAGTGATGCACACACACACACACACACACACACACACACACACACACACACACACACACACACACACACACACACCATGGTGACGGAAGATGAGCTACTTCATTTATTTTCTCTAATGCCTTCTGTTTAAAAGGCTAATCAGCGTTGTTGTTTCATTTGACCTTAGTGAAACACAATAAACAAGCCAGAACACTGAGATTATTATTAAGAAAATTGAGAAAATGATTACGTCTGTATGCAAGTTGGTGATTTGATAATATATGAAATGACAACATTAACTCACTGATGGAGGAGCTCTGCATGCAAATGCTTTTGTCTCCCTAAATTGAGCAGTTAATGGGTCACAGCTTCGCCACGAGTTATTCCAGAAACAAACAGTGTTCAGTGATCAAATTCAGTGAGACTCTTTAGTATTTTACAGTTTATCTGTGCAACTTCTGCCAACTGTATCCGACTCCCATCAGAAATAATAGGACAGCGCACATGTGCAGACGTGTGTGTGTGTGTCACAGCAACCTGATGAGCCAATTCTGAAATAACAAAACACATGTCTGCACATGTCATTCAATGGTTTTGTGTCAGACATGTACGAGCCCAGTGTGAGGGAAGTAAAGGGAAAAACATTAGCTGTGTGATTTCGCCTCTTTCCCCAAACGAATCCCGTCTCTCTGGTCCAAATGCAGCGAAAGCTAAAATCGTATCACTTGGCGCAAACATCTTCAGATGCTACTGCGACGCATGCGTTTATGGTCATGGAGTTCAATTCTTTAGATTCCACTTGGACACCACATTGTTCTGCTTGAGCACATTGGTTTAAGGAACCTTTTAAATTGTTTTTCTTTTGATCGACAGCCAACACACTGGAACGCCGACGTGATACGAAAGACCTTCCAGATTTCTTTTCATTCCTGTGTGACGGGACTTTTGTTACCGTGTGAACGGAGGGAAATGGCCTGAAAGCAATGTGATCCAGCAATTACAGCACATGCTGTGATAATTCAGTGTCATACACGACAACTTTGACTTGGGTAGAAGGAAAGTGAGCCTACAAATCAGCCACATTCTCCCTACTGCAGGGCACAAAACAAAAATAACCTTTATTATGGACTGAGCCACGGGGAGGACTCAATCATGTTCATGACAGGGGGGGGTTTCATATCCACAATGAGGCCGCGCTGTTAACAAATCACACACAAAAAAACAAATCAACATGCGGAGAAGAATGCCGCGCGTTGCCTCCTGGAGCCAAAGGAGAGAAATAACCACCGATGCATTTAATTAGAGAGCGGCGGCTCTTATCGTCGACCTCGTCCTTCGGGAGGCGGGCGGGCGGGCATGCGGGGGGGCGGGCGGGCCTCCGCTCCAGCGGATCGGAGCCGGCGCAGCAGGCACTGGTTCTGTGTCGCGAGGCGGGAAGCGGTGTGAGCGAGGCCGGTTTAATCTACCTGCCTGCCACTGCGCAGCTCCAACAAGGAGCTGCCATTCCCGGGAGCGGCAGCGGGGGAAGACGCGGCCCGAAACTGTGACAAGAGCCCTTCGATCAGACCGAGAGCGGAGCGATGTTTATCGCAGAAGACGGATCAAGTCCCAGGTGTTTTACAATGAAACGTCATCGACGCGGCGAGCCACGCGCAAACGGTTTTCCTGTTAAAGGCGTAGTGTTAAACGTTCCTCCACCACAATGTGCCCTTTATGAACCCCGGATGCCCGTTTCTCGCGTTGCGCACACCGCTTACCCACAGCGACAACAGGAGTTTGATCTACGCGGCCTTTCGGATAAGAGTTGAGACGATTGGTCGCCCGCCGCTTTAAAACGCCGCTGAAGCTACTTTGAAGGTGTCAATTCGGTAATCCCCATTTCTCCAGCACTATTACTACCTGCGGTTCCTGTGTGTCACTGGATAGATTTTTAGAAAGCTGTAACCTTTTTGTCAAGCGCATCAAACGTCCGTCATCGCAG